TTTTTGGGGGGGGGGTACCAGGGATTGAACTTGGGACCCCGCGCCCTCCAGGCAGGTGATAGAACCACTGAGCCAAATCCCCGGCCCAGCAACTGTACTTTTAAAAACTGTTTTTAAAGAATTGAGGTATGTTATGCACATATACCAATGTCCCATAGTGACTGTAATTACTGTGTACTGCAAACATGTGCTAATGACAATTTTAAAAAATAAAAACTTTTTTAGTAGTTGCCCTAGAGTTTTCAATATATATTTGCAACTAATACAAGTCTGCCTTTCAACTAGCACTGCGGTACTTCACAAACAGACCACGTGCCTCATAACAAAGTATTTCAAATTCTTCCCTCCCATGCCTGGTATCTTTGGTGCCATTCATTTCACTATAATTTATTTCACTGTAACCTATAATCATCAAATACACAGTTACTATTATTTTGGGTAAACTGTCATTAGAACAGTTTCCATGTATTCCTTCATAACCTTTTTCCTTTCTTTATATAGACCTGAGTTTATGACCTATAGTTTTCCTTCTTTCTGAAAAATGTTTTTTTTTTTAAACAAGGGTCTCGCTATGCAGTTTAGGCTGGTCTTGAACTCTCGGGAATCCTCCTGCCTCTGCCTCCCGAATGCTGGGAATACAGGTGTGCGCGACCACACTTGGCTTTTTTTTTTTTTTTTTGGTATTGGGGATCAAATTCAGGACCTCTCACCTGCAGGCAGGTGCTATTGTAAGACTGAGGGCCTTACCAAATGCTCCAAGGAGCTGACTGCAGTGAAGCACACCCGGGGATCCCAGCGGTGCCTCCAAAATGTAAGACCGAGGGCCTTACCAAACGCTCCGAGGAGCTGACTGCAGCGAAGAACACCCGGGAAGGAACACACCGGACAAGTTGGAAAGTAAAACAGACCTTAGTCTGGCCAGACGGCACTCCCAAAGCAAAGTAGCTTAGAGAGGCGACTAGCCCAGAGTCCGAGGCTCTTTTTATAGGGGGTTGCAGGGGAAGTTAACAGGCGAAATTTACAGAAGAGGAACAAAGGTTAGTGGTCAGCTGACACGTACTGATGGTCAGCAGATGTTTGTAGATTGTTCTATAGATAGCGTTGTCCGGAACATCAGTTTCAAACAAAGAGTTGAGTAATTTACTTTGGGACCTTTTGGCTGATACAGATCTTATCTAGTGTCCCAGAACTAACAAGCATCTTTATCTATTTACTCACATTCACAGTTGGGGCTAGGGGAGTTTTATGATTACAGAGTTATATGCAGTCCCACACTATGCCACTGAGCTACATCCCCAGCCCCCCTGAAAAACTTTTTAACACTTCCTGTGTAGCGTCTCCTGGTGATACAGCCCCCAACTTGTGGTTGACTGATAAAGAACTTCTTTCACTCTGGAGAATAATTTCACTGGACATAGAATACCAGCTTACAGGGATTCTTCTCTCCATACTTCAAATGTTCTACTCTGGGCCAGGGATTTAGCACAGTGACACTGCGCCTGAATGGCAAGCATAAGGTACTGAGTTTGATCCCTGGGACCACCCCCCAAAAAACCCCAAAAAACAACTATTCCACTCCACTCTCTTCTTTGCCTGTGTGGTTTCCGAAGACAAATCGAATGAGATTCTTATCTTATCTTTGTCCTTGCTCCTCCATTAAATTTTTTTCTCTCTCTCTCTGCTTTTTCAAAATTTTTTTCCTCCCAGGCATGGTGGTGCATGCTTATAATCCCAGCAGTTGGGAGGCTGAGGCAGGAGCATTACCTGATGTTCGAGGCCAGCCTGGGCTGCATAGTGAGTTCAAGGCTGGCCTGAACTACATAGCTAGAGCTTGTCTCAAACAAACACAAACAAATTTCTTATCTTTCATATTCTGACATTTTTCTTCCAGTTAAATAGATTTTTAAAAGCCTTTATTAGGGCCAAGGATTTAGCTCAGTGGCAGTGTGCCTGCCTTGGAAGTGCAAGGTCCTGAGTTTCATCCCTGGTACTGGGGAAAAAAAAAATTTTTTTTAAAGCCTTTGTTTCTAAAATGTGGCTTAATTACACTCCCAATGTTCTAAGTTGCTTTTGGAAGTGATCCTGCAGCACAGAGCAACCAGAGGAGGAGCAGTCAGGGCTCCTGGCCCTGGCACCTGAGGTTTCTTCAGCTGTTTCTTGTGATGTCCAGGGGGTCATTTGGATTGCTCTGGGTGACAAAGAGGTCTGACCTCGGGAAGAGCTTTCCCCACATCCTCTGCTTTTATGGGCTTAATGATATGGCCTGGCTCGGTCACAACCTTGCAAGTGGAAGGCCCTCTTGGTGTTCCACATGGATCCTATAGGGGTCTGGATGCTCCTTTCAAATTGCCTATGTTGGGTGAATGGGTATGGAAGTACCTGCACCTGATGAGCCGCTGCATAGATGTTGCGCTTCTCTTTGATACTCACATTTGGCAAATTCTTGTCTTTTCTTGGAGGGCCTTTAGGAGTTTTAATGAGAAATTGGCATCTCTTCTTGGTGCTAGGCTTCAGACCTATCTATACCACCCCACTCACCCCAGTCAGGAAGTGTCAGGTCCACATCCTTTGGCCTCCACAGCCTCCTTCTCTTTCGAGAAATCTTTGATGACATGGTCTCCAGCAAAAGCTTCCTTTATTATCTACTTTTGTTGTTTCTCCTCTTCGTCTTCCAATTCCTCTATTGCTGTGGGAACTGCCAACTGACTTCATGGAAGGAGACTTTGTAGTTAGGAGATTCTGAAGATCAATCATTTGCTCCTTCTTTTTCTTCCCCTTAGGGGCATCGGCCTGGTTATTTGGGTTTCTCTCTGTTCCCCTTTTAACACAGGTCTGGGAAGCTCCTTATTTTGAAAGTATACTTTGTGGCCCAGGTCTTCTAGATCTTCCAGAGTCTGCGCTCTCTCTGCTGCTGCAGAGGCCCCTCTTCCTCTGGGGCACATTCCTCCCTCTGGACCTGGAGAACTGTCCCCATTGAATTCACTTTTTGCTTCCTAGATTGATGGGGTTTTTTGGTTGAGTTTCTGAGTCAATGCCTTCAATTCAGATAATACCTCCTGGTTGCTAAAATCTTTTGTTTCCTGACTGCCCACTGGCTCAGCATCCTGGTTGAGCTCAGATCTTTTTCTGAGGGATCACCTTTCCTCAAATTCCTGTAACAGAATTTTCTCCTCTGCTCCTGGTCTTTCATCCTCTTCGATTTCACAAAACTGGACCATGGGCTCAGGTGGTTGTTCAGGCTCCTTCTGGATTTCACCTTTTGCATCACTGTTACAATTCCTGAACATCCAAGGATGTGGCCCATCTGCACACATTTGTAGTTCATTCACTACGTCAGGGACAGGAAGTTCTTCCTCTTCGGCACCTTTCTCCTCTTCCTCGCTCTCTGAGACTACCTGGAGTTTGTGTGTCAGTTCTTTGTTCTTCTGCCATTTTAATTTGAATACCTACACGGACTTCTTGGCATTTATCCTGCTTGCTGTGTCTTGAGCTTCCTAGATCTGTTGTTTCGTGTCTAACATTAATTTGAGGAGTTCTCATCCACCACTGTTTTAACTATTTCTTCAGTTCCTCTCTTCTACTAATTTTTCCATGTATTTTGAATCTGAATTTAATGTGAAATTTTTAATAAAATATAGTCTGCATAAGGAAAAGCAAAAATTACCCCATGATCAATTTTCACAGATAAACAGAAAGAATATTACCAGCTGCCTATAAGCTCCTTATATCCCTATCTACTCATTACCCATCCATTCCCTAGGTGATCCCCATCTTGACTCTAACATCATACTGTATATAGTTTTTCTTTTAAAGATACTTTATTAAGCCTGGGCACAGTGGAGCGAACCTGTAGTCCCAGTTACTGGTAAGGCGGAGGAAGGAGAATCGCTTGAGTCCAGGGGTTTGGGGCCAGCCTAGGCAACCTAGTGAGACCTTGTGTCTTTAAATTCAACTTTCTGTAGAAAGCAGTCATCCAGTACAAACTTTTTTTTTTTGATTTTTTTGGTACTGGGGATCGAACTGCGGTCCTTGCGCTTGCGCAGCAGGCTGCGAAACCACTGAGCTAAATCCCCGGCCCCCAGTACAAACTCTTGAGTATCCGTTCTCTTACACTCTATCCAATGTTTTTGAGATCCTTCCACGGTATTGGGTATGGCAGTAGTTTATTAGTTTTCAATAGTGTGTAGTATTGCATTTTGTGAATAGGACGCAATTTTCCGGGCATGGTGGCACACGCCTATAATCCCAGTACTGGGAGGTGAGGCAGGAAGATTGCCGAGTTTGAGGTCACCCTGCGCTACATAGCTAGACATTGTCTAAAAAAAATTATGTGTGTGTGTGTGTGTGTCACAATTTATCTCATTCAACATCTCAACTGGACAGTGAGCTTATCCAGTTTGGGGCTATTACAAATAGTAATTCTCTGAGCATTTTGTAGGTGTCTTTTTGTACGTACGTACACATTTCTGCTGGGCATAAACGCAGTAGAATTACTGGGCTATGTGTTCTACTTGTTTCCCCTAACGAGAGTGTGTTTATTATCTATTTTGTTCACTGTTAGGTCCAGCACCTAGCACTCCATGGCAGTCAACAAACATCCGCTAGGGCCGGGGATTTACCTCAGTGGTTCCGACGCCTGCCTCGCAAGCGCAAGAACCCGAGTTCAATCCCCGGTACCAAAAAAAGAAGGAAAAAACCCCCAAACAAACAACCGCTAACTAAAGAAATACATGGATGTACGAAGCGCTTTCGAGAGCGCTGTTCTGCGAGGTCCAGGCACACGCGGGCGGGCACAGCGCAGGTCGGAAAGGCCCGGGGTGGCGGGGCGCTCCCGCGGCTCCGTACCTGGGCTAGCGGCCCGGGCGGGCGCGCAGAGACGCAGGTGGGATCCGCAGCTGGCCCGGGCGGGCAGTCGGCAGGGGGCCGCGTGCAGGCTGGATCCTCCCCGCGCGGCCCGCCCGGCCAAGCTATAAGAAACGAACCCGGGCACCGCGCGCGCACGCGCGCGCGCAGCCCCACATGGCCTCGGGCGCGCAGCCTCCAGCCGGGTCGGAGCCGCGGGCTGAGGGGGCGGGAGGTGCGCGCAGTGCCGGGGGGCTCTCGGACGCGGAGCCCCAACGCCCTCCTCCTCCCCCGCCGCCCGCGCGGAGCGCGGAGCCCCGGTGGCCCCGCGCCAGGTCGAGTTCGGCCCCCGCCGCCTCCGAGGCTCGGGCGCCGCCGCCACCCCGGACGCCCTGCGACCTGAGAGGTCCCCTGGACGAGCGCCGGGTGCTGGAGCACCTGCACGTGGCCCTGAGGCGCGAGGCGCGCGTGTGGCGGGGCGGGAGCCTCCAGGTGCGCAGGCAGCCGACCGCGCCGCTCGGGGCCGGCCTTCCGGGCTGAGCCCCGACGAGCCCCGCGGGCGGGCGGGGTGCGCTGAGCCCCCTGGCGCCGCCAGCAGGTGCCGCTGCAGGGGCCCCGCTCGGGACGACGGGCGGGCGCGCTTTTCTCGCTCGGGGCTCTCGGGCCCGGGCCCCTCACACGGCGGCTCCCTCCTTTCTCCCGCAGCCGGAGATCCGCGGCGCCTTCCTGGAGGTCGTGGTGTGGTTACTGGAGCGAGAAAACGCCTTTCACTTCGCCCGGACCACTTTTAACCTGGCGCTCAGCATCTTTGGCCGCCTCCTGGTCTCCGTGAAGGTGGGCGGCGCGAAGGAGCGCGAAGGCGGTGGGCGAGCTGACCTGGGTCGGTCGCGCAGTCCCGGGCTCAGCCAGGCGCGTGGGGGAGCGGAGTGGGGCCGTCACCCCGGACCGCGGCTCCGCCCCGTGGCCTCAGGGCTGGACTCGGGAGGGCGGGAGGACCCGCCGGTACGAAGGGGGGCGTCCAGCGGGCTCCGAGGCCGCACTGTCCCCGTCAGTCCCCTGCGCAGGAACACTAACGGGGCCGTGCTCCCGACAGGAGCGTCCTCCCTGGGACTGTCGCACAGTGGCTCTAGTGCTCCTGCCTCGTGGAGGAACAGTCTTTAAAGGGGGGATTATTTTCTTAACGCCCTGCCCGGCCTCTCCAAACTGCTGCTGGAGTCTGCCCAAATGTGCTCGTGCTGCAGGTGTCGGAGTGTCATCTCCAGTGTGCCATAATCACGTGTCTAAGACTTGCTGCGAAGCTGAACGAGGAGGAGGAGGTATGTCCCCCTGGGGTCCTCGCTGGGCCGCGCTCGAGGGACTGCAGTGTAGCCGGGGTTCCTGAAAGGTCTGGAAATGTCACTAACTCCTGTCACCTCTGCTGACCACCTTCTGGTTTGTGAGACCCTAGAGGACAAGTGGAGAAGCAGAACTGAGGCCCGATCTTGCAGATTCTTCTGGCCTCGCTGGTTGATGCTGGCCAGGTGGATGCAACCTGCATTAAACACAGGTGCCTGCTGTTGAGAAAAACCCCTTTTGGACCCCGTGGCTTGATGTTCACCCCTAGAAACTATGTCTGGGGAAAGCTGCTCGAGTCTTAGAGACAGCTGTGCCAGTGAACTCGGTCCTTGGGCACTACAGGACCTTTCTCTGGGACGTGCAGGGGAGCTGTGTGCTTGGCCACCAGAGTCCCAGACCTCCCACCACCCTCTGACCTCTTCCACTTTGGTGATGGGGAAACCACTGCCATTTTCAGAGTTTCCTTGGGTTGATGTCTGGGTCTGAGGAAGCAGGGGGGGAAAAGTTTGTTTCCAGTTGCAAACATTCAATAAAAAATTTTAACTTTTGCTTATTAAATATAATTTGTACTCAAGTTGTTTTTGTTCAACCAAAGATCAAGTAAATGATCCTTAAAAGAAGTATCTCTAGAAGTTATAGTCGTAATTTGCTCATCTACAAAAGGTGAGAATGAGTCTTGAGTACACTTGGAACTTGAATGTTTACTCACAGACAACCCTTATTTAGTCCCTCTGGAGAACAGTCAAGTTTTCCTAGCCCCAAGCCACCTTCAACTAAGATTGAAGGGAAAGCATCTGTAGTTGTAGTGCTACAAAAAGCATGGGAAGCTTTGTTGACGTGCCTCCCTCAGAAAGCTCAAAGGCCTAAATTTCCTCCCTGTGAGTAGCCATGACAGGGCTTGGGAACAGCAATGGCAGAACCCATAGCCCCTGGAAAACCTTGGGTAAGTTGTTGTGGCTGACCACAGACTGCACAGCCCCAGCCTCCAGAACACCTGAGTCAGCTGGGATGCAGGGAGGATCGAGACCTGTTTGCAGAGGGTGGCCATGGGCGTGCACTACAAGGAGTCTCAACTTCCGGGGGAACTGACAGCCAGCTAAACTCTGGCAGGTGCTTCCTCTCCAACACCTCCTGTGGCAGGCCACTGGATGACCCTTTACTCAGGTCATGGATACCCAGTCCCTATAGATAAAAGAACAAAAGCTACTATGACACGATGTAGGGCTTTGGCCTCTTTATTTTCTTTTTACAGTCAATTCCACATGTAAACGACTTCATAAAGCACTATGGCCCCAGCTATAGCCCGAAGGAGCTTCTGAGGATGGAGCTGGTTATTCTGGACAAACTGCACTGGGACATCCACACCGGGACACCTCTGGACTTCTTGAATATAGTAAGCACGAGGAGGCATTGGCTGAGTCTCCCGAGACTCACATGTGCCTTTGGAACAGCTGTTCACGACACGGGACAGATGGCAGAGCACAGGCGAGCACATGTACTTGCGCATGCACCACAGTGAGGTGACCCACGAGGCTTACCGCTTACGGAAGAGTGAAAATGTGTCTTAAATCCAACACCATTCCACCAGCCTCTCATTTCTAAAGGACATTAAATTAACTTGACAAAGATGTTTAGATGGCACTATTATGGTGAGGTTCTTCTTAAATACACACTGCAAAAATATTTAACTTTCCATTCTATGAACTTTGTACATAAATATCTCCTTTTGCTACACTTTACACACATTCACTTAGCTGTCTTTATTCACCTACACACAAGCCTTATTGAAGCTTTAGACCATATTGATCTGGCACTTGAAAATATATCACACATTAGTTTGTTTTAGTTAGGGGAATGATATCATCCTTAAGGATGTGATTCTGTTAGTAAGGCAAAATTATGCAGTGGAAATGTCATAGGGTTTTGGTCTGTTATGAAGCATGAAGACTAAATCACTAAGGGCTGTTTCACTGTGAAAACTGGCCCAGGTTGCAGTCTAAGTCAAGCTGATACAAGTAACTTTTCTGCTACCTTGATCTTGAATAGTATGTTTTTATCTTCAAACGGAAACACTTGTCATTAGGTACTTTAGGCTCATGACTGTATCACAAAGCAGAGTGCTTTTTCCTCCAGGGTCGATGCTCAGAATGGGCAGTAAGCTTCAAGCCCCTTCTGGGACCTTGGACAGAAATGAAAAGGATTGGGCCACACTGGATGCTCCCTGATGGAAACTGAAATTGTTTGCACTTTTGGTCGTTGATAATATGAAGAGGAGGGGGTTTTCTGTTCTAACATTAAAAACCGTGGTCTCTAGTTCCATGCCCTAGTGATCCTGAGCCAGCCCCGCGTGATCGATCTGCTGCCTCAGACGAAGCCTTCCTGCCACGTCGCGTCCCTGACCAGGCAACTGCAGCACTGTATGGCGGGCCACCAGCTGCTGCAGTTCAAGGGCTCCACACTGGCTTTGGTCATCATCACCTTAGAGTTCGAGAGGCTCAAACCCGGCTGCTGTGATCCTATATCTGATCTGCTAAAGAAAGCACAGGTAGACGTCAACTTTGCCCCAGGCCAGGCTCTGTGTCCATTCAGCTGACACTCCAACCCTGCCAAGGGACCCTTCTTGACCCAGGTGTGCTCCAGAGGACGCTCTGGCCTTGACAGCTCTGGCAAAAGTCTTTCTAAGGGCTGGGGCACACACTCGGCCATCTGTGGGACATATGTTCCTCCTCTGGACCAATGGGGGTGGGTTTCTGGCCATGACGAAAACCTCACCTCAGTGGCAGCCCTTCTAGCAGGAAGGCTGGGTTGGGGCTGGGGGTCCAGCTTAGGAGGGAGCAACCTTCAGCTTAATGTGGAGGACTCTACATTTTGGACCTGTCTCAGGCTATTTGAATACAGCTGGGGAAGGGAGTCACAAGCGCTGGGGACAGACAGGTCAGGACGGAATGCATGAGTTGCTGAGGTTGGAGCTGGCTGTTCCTGAGATGGCACTTAATGCTCTGAGTTGCTTCATGTGCCTGTGGTAGCACTTGGCTGCCTCCTCCTCAGAACCTACGATGGTTCTGCTCTAAGCCTGGCCCGTTCTAACACAGGTCAGTATCGAGCAGTACGAACTCTGTAAGGAGCTTGTACAGCAGCACCTGAGAAGTTTGCCGTCATCCTCCCGTGCAGACAACTGACCCACTGCCACCCAGCCTCTGTGCCACTACCTGTGCTGCAGAACACAGTGGGACCCTCCTTGCTTGGACACCCGTGAATCCTTGGCTTTACTAATCCTGTAAAGAGAAGGGTAGCGAGCCCTGGAAGAGCAACTGAGGCAGTTCCTCAGTCCTCAGAACAGCAGGGGCAAGGGTCAGCAGAGGTAAGACCGACAGACAGGCACAACCCTGCCTTCTCTCTCCTGGTGAAGCCACGGAGATCAGAGGCAGCTCACGCTGTGGTCATTTTTCCTTCTCCTGCAAGGGTTGGTACTGGCCCCTTGGAGAGCTGGAGGGCAGGGGCTGCTCCTCACTGACCTCTTCTTGCTGTTCTACCTGCAAGAGCTGGCTGTGTCCTCCAGCCTCGCAGGTCTGTCCCAAACATGTGGCCATGTGCTTCTGTCCCAGCTGCCCACATCTCTCCAGACCCACTTTCCCTCGGCAGTGACTTACACCTTCTCAGGACTGGATCTTGATTAGGCTTTAATGTGTAGTAACCCTGAGCAAGCAATAAACACCATCTTCCTTTGACCCTGCTCCCCATCCTGGGGGCTGAACCCAGGGTGCTCTGCCACTGAGGTACAGCCCCAGCCCTGTTTATATTTTGAGACAGGGTCTTGCTAAGTTGCCCAGGCAGGTGGGTGCAAGCTTGTGATTCTCCTGCCCCAGCCTCTTATTCTGAAGCAAAAGACATTTTTTGAACTAGAGGAATGCCAAGCTAATGCATGGGTATCACTGGTATGCCAGTGAACTACAGGCTTGGTTCTGAAAGCTTTTTGTTGAGCTGGGAGCAGGTTTGCAGGCCCTGCCTGACCCCACTGCTGTGCTGTGAGGTTACTTGCATGGCTGAGGGGAAGGCCAGCTGGCTCTCTGAAGCCGTGATACTATTGAATTCTGGGCACTGGAGCCCAGCTGGCAAAGATGCCAGCTGGAGCTGTGTAAATAGTGTTGGGGACTTAAACGACAGCCACATGCTTAGAGGTGGTTTGTGAAGTCTCCATTGTGACTTTTTTTCTTTTCTGTGAATGCGCCATGCTGTGGAGGCTGGGGGTGCAGCAGAGGGGTCAGGGACCAGGTCTACCATAGTCATGTCGGTATTACACAGTCTGAGTAACCTTGACCTTTTCTGGACACAAATCTTGCTTTTAGGAACTTACATAAAAATAAACTTTGTCAGTAATGCTGCCTGGATCTTATTTTGCATTTGTGGCTACTGTGCATTTAGACTCGCTGGAGCCAAACACATGGAGCATTCTCCTGGTCCTGTCAGTAGCCATCATCTAGGCAGATCCTGGAAGACCACGGTGAGAAAGTGAGGGAAAGCACAGGGAGCTGACAGCCTGGCAGACAGCCCCCGGCTGTAGCTTTACCTATGGGAGGAGGGGGCAGGGAGGCAAGTGTCTTGGGATGCCCCGGGCTGTAGGCTGCTCGAGGCCAAAGCTGTCCTGAGCCTCCCTCCTCCCAGCGAGGGGCACTGGAGCAGGTGCGAAAGAGCTCGTTCCGAAGGCCCACACCAGCTCGGACTGGCTCAGGCTTTGGGGAGCTGCTGAGGCTTCTGGGCTTCTCAACCCAGTGGCTCCAGACATAAACTCAGTACTCAGAGCTGCTCCCACTCCGTTGTGGGGAGAGAGAAGCAGACCTGGGTACCCCCATACTGAGATAAGGGACAGCCTTGTTGCCATGCCTTTCTGCAAATGCTGTACCTTTCATTCGGGGAAGCTGGCAAGCCATCTTCCTTCTGTCCCCACCTCTAGAGGGTAGACCTTGTTGAAGGACTGAGGCCAAAGAACAGAAATGGAGACAGCCCAGAGGCAGATGGAGAGAGGGAAGCTCAGTGTCCGGGAACACCGTGGGGTTTCCTTAAACTTGTCCATCCCCAATGGGTAGGCGAGTTGTGCAATGCTGCTCCTATACCAGGGAGGCCCGGCTCCTTTCTCAAAGCTTAACACAAACTCCCAGCCACCTGCCTCCCATAGGTAGAGGTGAGCTGCACCTCACGAAGGGCGTCTGAATACCAGTCTTCCTGCCTAGCTCTCGGCTCCCCAACCTCAGTCCCTGTGTTGTCATTTTTTGGTCTTCCTAGGATCTACCTAGTGCCCAGCAAAGAAAGTGCTGCAAGAAATGGACTCAGGTGTGTGGGATTCAGCTACTAGTCTGCCCTTCCTTGGCCAAACATTTCCTGTGTCCTAGGACTTCCTACCTCTACAAAACTTTCTACAAAATTTCCAAAGCCCACACTGTCAAACTGTATACTTTAACAAGGACCAGATTTCCACTCTTCTTCCATGGTCCTACTTGGATGCCAAGGAGCAGCTAAATCCAGGAATTAAGGAAACAGACAACGCACATTCAAATCCAACTTCCAGTCACTTGATATGTGACCTCGGTAACTATGTAACCTCTCTGCCTTCCCTACAAAATAGGGAGAGTAATGATATCTGATCATAGGATTACGATGAAGATTAGAGGTGTTAATGCATGTAACACAACTGAATGCACACAAATATTAGTTGTCCTGTGTCCACCTTCTCTGATAAAAGTTTGCATTCTTTGAGCCAGGTGTGCCTTCTCTCACCACCTTAGCCTAGTTACCCTGTAAAGATTCTTGGGCCACAGACTGCATTTTCTCTTTTCTGACTCTTTCCTCCATCCTACTCCTTCCCAAGAGTGACTCACAGTTGCCTGTAGCAGGATTCACTATTAAAATGTAATTCCCACAGAATCACACAGACTAGCCTCCATCAAGTTCTCAGAAAAGACAAACTATTTACCACAGCTGTGGCATATTAACAGGCTTGAGAAATTTGTTAAATCAAAAGAGATGCCCAAAAAAGACACTATAAAAACTCAAAATAAATGCGAAATTTAATGGGGGAAAAAAAAGTACAAAGTGAATGGAGAGGAACAAAAACAGTCAATGAATGGAGTAAATGAATTAACAAGTGAAGCAGTTTTAGAAAAGCATGTTAACATAACATCACAAGGCACGCTCCCTCAGCCTCCTGCCCAGTAACGGGAGCCCCACTGACCAGGAACCCCCCTACACACAAACATAAGTGCAGTCTGCACAACCACAAACCATGGCCTCGGATCCCCTGTAGCGAGTGAGACCACAAATCCTGGCTTGTTTGGGGCGCTTCCAGTTCATGCTGCTGGCCTGGCACATTCATTAACAGCAGCCCCTTTCTCTCACAAGGCCCAGTTTGGACAATAAATTATATGGTGGTTCTACCCCAAACCAGTGTGGTTCAAGGAAGACGTGATAGTAAATTCCAACGTGATCCTCTATGACATCCCAAATAATGCTGGCAAATGTTGAGAAATGAGGGGTACATCAGATCTGCACATGGGGGTCATGCTCCATGACAGTAGTTTGTTAATGTCAAGTTTTATCCTCGTCCTGTACACCAAGAATTTGGTCTCAGCTCAAGATGACAAAATTCCAAACACAAACGGCAATGGGAGAGGTGCAGTGAGGCTTGCTAATGTTGGGGCTGGTGGGGCAGCTCGGTCTCCAGAAAGTGCAAGTCTGTTAGGGCAGGCCAGCCACCAAGCACAGCTGGGCCTTCTAGTACGCCCGGGCTGCCCTCAGCATTGCAGTGGGCAGGGGGCAGCATGGGCCACTCGAGGCCCACGAGCTCGGAGTCCCCTCACTCACAGAAGCACTGCACCTGCCGGGTCAGAGCCTCGCTGTCAGAAACACATCAGCTAGGAAAGGCTACTTGCAAGGGCAGGCTCTGAGCCAGGTGAGTATACCTCAGACGTCCAAGCAGGCTGTGGAGGAGCTGCTCGGAGTACACACCAGCCTGTGACAAGCAGGGCTACCTTTCAGACACCACACTGATACGTCAGTGTCCGAGCACAGCCAGAGGTGGATTTACTGTGAGGCTGATGAAGCTTCATCTCCAGGGCCCCTTCCAAGGCCCATACCTAATTTTATATTCTTATTCTTTTGGTTTTAAAAGTCTCCTAAATAGTTTAAGTTTCTGGCCCTAGTCAGGGCGTAACTTTATTTGGGATATCAATAAAACCTCCTCTACTGCCGGCAGGAGGAGCCCCTCAACTGTACAGGCTGCTCCTTTCCGGCCGTTCCCCAGTGGACCCACAAGAGCCCATCCTTCCACCTAACTTCTGGGGTGTGAGTTGAGACAATGTCTCCTATATACTTCAGGCTGGCCTTGAACTCATTATGTGGCCCAGACTAGCCTCAAACTACCAGTGATCCCTCCTGCCTCAGCCTCCCGAGTGCTATGCACCACCACGCCCGGCTCTCCCTCCATCTAACTCTCAATGCAGTATCATCTCAGAGGGGCAGGAGGAAGCCCAGGCTTGGTCCTGGAAATCACTAAAGCAGGCCAGGCAGAAAGGGAGGAATGGTGACAGGAAGAAATACAGTGGGCATGAAAAGCTACCAGCCCAGCAATACTGAGCACAGCCCGTAAGGCTCCCAACAAGGAGTGTGCCAGGCTGTGAGCTTTCGTGGTCCACCAAGAAAGGATTTCACTTTCATCTCCCAGTCTGATGTCCACCCTGATACTCCCAGAGGCTGGCAGCCCACTAAGAGCACGGAAGAATGAATGCTGCTAGCACTCTTAAAATGTTCTTCCGTAGAGTGCAGCCCAAGGGAGAAAAGCTACCCTGGCTGCTTTTTCTCAGATTGTCTTAAACATACCAGGCAGCTCCTTCTCTTTGCCCGGAAGGAAGAAACAATGACCTCAAGGCACCAACAGCCTTTTCCTCAGAGCCCTCTTGGAACTGGAAAGCCAGGGTTGGCCGGGAGTCTTATTTGGAATTAAACACTTAACACACACACATGGCTTGGTCCCTCTTCACAGGTGGCACCTTGGCCAGACAATGGCTTTGGGCTGCTGTTCCATTTACATTCACAGTAAAAATGATGGATGTGGTCTTGCTCGTGATCCACTTTTATCGGTAAAGAACTTTCAAACACTGTCATTACAGGAAGTTTATTAACCACCTCTCCCTATATGTTATAGGGGTGCTCTATACATGAGAAGGGTTTAGAGGGTTTTTTTTAGTTTTTAAAAACCAGGGAGTCTGTGTTACGTATGAAAATAATGGGAGAGGATATTATTTGTCTTTACGCTGGTGCCAAAATAAAAATTTAGAAGAGTCTCAAAGTTATTAATGAAATTAAACTCGAGGTTAGAAAAAAATTAAAACAAAGGGGGCCCGGGCAAATTTTGCAGCATGTATACCAGACCACAGGCCGCACATACGGCACTGCGTGAGTCACCATCTTGACGCCGAACAATTAGGCCTAGCACCACCGCCTGGGGCCTTCACTAGAGTGGCTTATAACTGCTCCATCAAGGAATAGTGACACTGTAAATGGAAGACCAGCCACTGGCTCTGAAAAAAATAAACCTCGTCAGTTTTGGATTCCAGCATTCACGGCTTCTGCACGTTTGCACAGAGGGTGTGGCGGCCAGACCGAGGGCAGCCTGGGGCCGGGCGGGACGGGGCAGGGGCGAGGCAGTAAACACTGGAGGCTGCGCGCCAGCTCCCAGTCCGTCCTCACGCCACGTTATGGGAGAAGGGTCACAAGGTGTAACTCAAGCAACTTAATACATGAAAGTCTAAAGTCCACTCTTGACATGTAAGTCTGTGCGTGCGTTAACTGAAAAATAAAAATAAAACAAACAGAACAAAAACAGACACATTAAAAGATACGCAGACCAAATCAAACAGAAGCAAAAGACAGCAAGATGGACACTGGGGAAGGGCAGTCAGTTTGGCATTTGTGACGGGCGAAGCAGAGAACTGGCTTCAGTTTGTGGCGTCCCAGGCTGAGGGTCAAGATCTGATTGGGAAGTAATTTTGCAGAAATGGATTAAAATTTAAAGAACAAATGCAACCAATCAAAGCCATTCAATTAAATGGTCATGAGAAGTAGCCACTTTCAGAATGCACGCCCAGCCCACCCCATTCCATCAACCAGGGCTGGGGGGAGACTGCTGGGGGCCACACCCAGCCCACCCACTTCAGCCTCCACGAGCCAGCGAGGGCAGAGGCCAAACTGACTGAGGCTTCCTGGCGTAGCCAGCAAACACAAAGGGCCCATCCTCCAGGCCCGGGCCCAGAGGACAAGGTACCAGAGAGCCCAGACCCGAGCCATGAGCCCTCCACTGAGAGCTGTGTCGGAACCCTGCGGACAGCTTGCACCCCCAACTCCCCACCACTCCAACCCCCCGGGCCTCAGGCCCAACCTGGCTACAGGTCCTTGCTTCAACTTCTGAGAGGTTTCTCCACAGCATCTTTCCTAGTCTCAGCCCAGCTTTTCTTTAATGAGTTGGACTGGGCTACGCAGGCAGAAAGCAGGGCAAAGTCACTTTGGTCCATGGACCTCTGCCCCTGGCACCCCCAAGGAGAAACCAGGTTTCTGGGCTGCCACCCCAACCCTCAGGCTCACCAAGCCCGGGCTGGGCATGGGGCGAGGGGGAGCAGCCACTGTAGAGGAGAGGGGAAATTCTCAAGACTGAGGGGAGCACAGGGCTGGGTTTTCCCTGGGGACAGGAAGGGATTTATCCTTCCCAGCAGTGCCTGTGGCCCAGGTGGGGCCACTGGGTATGGGGGTACAGATTATAAAAAGAAGCAGGCGTTAGAAACGACAACTGAAATGGGAAGGGGACCGAAAGAGGAAGGAAAGTAGAAGGGAGAGGAAGGGGAAGTAAAAAAAATTAAAATGTGTTATGTACATTACCAACTCAAATTATTAAAAATACAAAAGAGAAAAATCACTATTTCCAGTTAAGAAAAAAAAAAAAAAAGACAACTAGAATCCAACTCCCAAATGCCTGGTTCTGGCCTGAGTTCCCCAGGAGAAGTGGTTCAAGTTTCTCTCTTCCAGTAAGCGCCTGCACCCCTGCGCTGTCGGGAGACAGGTGCCCTGTGCCTGCCTGTGTGACACGGCAGGAGAGACAGGGCCGTGTGTGTGGTGTGCACGGTGTGAGCTTGTGTTAGGGAGCACAGTGGGGGGGCACGGCGAGTGTCTGTGCCGGAGGCAACATCCCACGCCACAGCTAACCAGCCTCCACCGCCACCAAGGAGGGGAGGGTCTGCATGCACAGCCGCGGACACTCGCACGGAGGGAGCCCAGGGCGGAGGCCAGCGCAGGCCTGCCTGCTTACTTTCTCCGCTGGCACAAAAAGGATGGTGCCAGACCCAGGCTAAGGGCAGGGGAGAGAGTGCTCGGAGACGGGCACTGCGGTGTGGCCAGGGTGGGAGAGGCTCCCGCAGGGTGTGCAGGCTCCAGCTCAGGGTGTGGGAGCAGGCTACAGAAACGCCAGGGGGGCTGGGGCTGCAGCTCAGTGGTCGCATGCCTGTCCCACATGCTTGAGGTCTGGGTTCCAGCTCCATCAGCACACACAGAGGCCAAACAAAAATGACTCAGAGTCGCCCCACCTGGCCACCAAGTGGACAGCACCCCTGGAGGCTGTGCCATTCCCGTCTCTCTCTCCCTTCTCTACAGGAACAACTCCAGCTTCTCCTGGAGGGGCGGCTCTGCTCCCCCACAGGGGCTGCTGTCTTCTCAGCCCACATGGCCTCGGAATAGCTCCGTAGTGATCACAGTGTCGGGGGGTCCCCGCTGGCCTCGGTTACCACCTGCCAGCCGGTGTGGGGCCACCCACTGCCTCAGAGACTGAGGAGGGCTGCACCCTGGGCGTCCCCGCAGAAATGCCGACAGTCCCAGGCCCTGTCCTTCTGGCCTGAGCGACTTCCCCAAGACGCTACAGCTCCGCCTCTCAGGCTGTGCCCTGCCCGTGTGGCCCGGCCTTCTACACACTGCAGCAGAGAGGGCCCGGTGCTGAGCGCTACAGAATAAATGGGTGAGCCAGAAAGGGAAGAGGAGAGGGCAGGAGAGAGAAAGGAAGTGAGGGAGAGCACACGGTCACCAGAGAGAGAGAGAGAGAGAGAGAGAGACAGAGAGAGAGAACAAGCGCCAGGTGATGAGACAAGAGCACCAGTGTTAGAAAAAGGACAGGAGTGGGGAGCAAGAATGGGGTGGGAGAGCAAGTGAAACGGAGCAGAAGAGAGCGCTCGACGGGGAAAGTAGAAGCAAAGACCAGAGGAGCAGGAGACAGTGCGTGCACAGCAGAGAGCAGCACGGGGAGCCACCACCTACTTCTTCCTGTCCTTGTCCTTCCTCGGGGGCTGCTGTGAGGTGGCATGCACGGCCTGAGACTGCAGGGCCTCCACGGCCGCCTTCCTGCAGTTGAAGGCACTGGCCTCCTCTTCCAGCTCCCGGCGCTTCTCCTCTACCTTGCGCTTCTCCTCCTGGTGGATCCTCTTCAGGTGCTCAAACTTCTCGTGCAGCTGGGTGAGAGAATGGCTCCTGGCACACATGTGGGAGAGCCTGCGCCCCGGCCTCACCCTGGCTGGCCCGGCCTCCCGCACCCGATGTTCCTGCTGCGGCCCAGCCAGGCACGCACCTCCCTCTCCTTCTCCTTCAGCTCCAGCTCCGTCTCCTTCACTTTGCTGACAAACATCTGCCTCATCTCTTCCTCCTTCCTCTGCAGCTCGCTCAGGAACTCTTTCCTCTTGGCCTCGTACGTCTCTTGCAGGCTGTGGAGACCCCGAGCAGAGGGCCGGGGCTGGGACAGTGGCACATGGTGCAGGGCAGAGCCCGAGCAGCAGACTGGGGCGGGCCCGGGGCTGAGGGGAGGCCGGGCTCCTGCAGCCTCCGCTTGGGCCAACAAGACCCTAGAGGGCAGAGGCCGGGGGGCGAGAGTGACCGAGAGAGCGGCTGTCACCTGAAGGGCTGGCTGTCGCCGTCACTGTCCTGGAAGCCCATCTCCTCCAGCTTGCAGCGCCGGTAGAGCTCGTAGTGCCGACTGTGGGTCTGCTCGCGGAGGTCCTCCATGTTCACCCGGATCAGCATCTCCCGGAGCTTCACGAAGTCGCAGTGGTTCTCGTTCTCCACTGAAAGCAGGGGCACGTGGGGCATGGGGCGTGAGGCAGGCACGCGGCGGGCAGGGGCAGACAGCGTGCGGGGCTGCGGCCGGGGCGATGCAGGCACACAGGCGGGGGGTGGGGGACGGTGCAGGCAGCAGGACTGCAGGGCGCGTGTCGGGCCGCACTCACCCTGCACCACTCCCCAAGGGTACTGCCGCGCTCGGACCAGCTTGTTGCCCACCTTCACCTCCTCGGTGCTGCCCACCACAGCGAAGGGCAGGTGTGCCTGTAAAGGGCCCGGGTACGCGTGAGCACTCGGGGGACATAGGGGAGCACTCTCTCACAGGCCCTGTGGCAAGCGCCTCACCTCTAGCTCTTTTTTGTTTTGTTGTTTTTGGTTTTCTGAGACAGGGTCTCGTTATGGGTTCAGACTGGCCTTGAACTCACTGTGTAGCCCTGGCCGGCCCGGAACTCTTAGTGATCTTCCTGCCTCAGCCTCCTGAGTGCTGGGATTACAGGCGTGTGCCATCACACCTGGCTTCCTCTAGCTCTTTTGACTTTTTTTTTTTGGTACCAGGGATTGAAGTCGGGCCCTCGAGCTTGCCAGGCAGGCGGCGAAACCACTGAGCTAAATCCCCAAATCTTCTAGCTCCTTTGGAGAAATGTTCCAGACCTTCCAATGGGATAGTGAGCTGAACCCGAAACCCTCCCCCTGGCACTCCCGACTCTTCCGGTTATTCTTTTCAGGGCCATCCAGCTCCCTGAAAGGTCCTGCAGGCTCGGCTCCCTTCCGGTTCCTAAACCCTGACCTCAGGTCTGCTCACGCCTGCAGGCTTTGGGCTCCCACCCTGCGGTCAGGCCTTGCGTCCCTCTGACTGGAAAGCCAAGTCAGCTCCTCCCCGGCCCCCAGGGGACAGGCCTGGCCGGCGGGAGGGGCCCATATGTCCATCCTGGAACAGGCCAGGCTGGACTCCTGGGGGACAGAGGCCCCCCAAGCTGCACCTGCAATCTGGCTGCTCCGAGCCCCTGGCCCTGGAGCCCAGGCCCTTGCTCAGCACTCACATTCATGACTGCGTTAATCTCCGCAACGGCCTCGTCGTCGGTGGGAAACTGGTAGATCTGGACCCCGTTGCTGACCAACTCGCCCATGATCTTGATCTTGAACTTGTGGAGCTCGCTTTTGGAGATAGTGTCAGCCTTGGCAATGATGGGAATTATGTTCACCTGCCAGACCGGGGGAGGGACACGGTTACAGCCCTGCCCCAGCCACGTCCCTACAGAGGAGCAGAAGATGGAGCTGCACCCGTGGACTCTCCCAGCCCAATCTGGCCAACCTTTCCACAAAGCCACGGGGGCTGCACTGTCCTCCCACAGCTCTCAGAAAGAACCCCAGGGGTCCACGTCAGAAAGAAAGGGCAAGAGAGGGAAGAGCTAGGAATCTGGAGCCAAGAGAACAGGGCAGAGAGGAGGCTGAGCTGGCAAGGGGCGGGACGCTGAGCAGAGGGCGCGAGGGGGGCGGACACTGTTCCAGGGGGAGGGAAACAAGCCGGCCAGGCTGGGAACAAGAAGGAAGGGGTGCAGGGCTAGACTCAGGGGCAGGACTCTGGAGGAAAAACCCCGAGGAGCACAAGGGGGAGACAGGTGGTAGCAGTAGGGGCCACTGCGAGTGAGACACAGAGCGAACCAAGCCAAGGGGTTCTGAGTCAGCCCCCGCCCACGTCCCTGAGGACCCCGGGGGACGGCGGAGCTGCAGCCCCCCGTCCCGTTCTGGGGGAAGGCAGGGCACACACCTTGCTGTCCAGCTTCTTCATGGTAACCAGGTCCAAGGACTTCAGGGAGTGCCCGGTGGGCGTGATGAAGTAGAGGCACACATGGATCCTTGTGTCGTGGTAGTCGAAGAGCGAGCGGCGGATCTTCAGCTCCTCCTGCAGATAGTTTTCAAACTGTGCATCGATGTAGTCGACTATGGGCCTGTAACTACAGACAGCTCCGTCACCTGGGAGGCCAGAGCTCAGCCACAGCCTGGGGACCCCGGAGCCAAGCAGGCTGCCGCCCTTCCTGCCAGGGAGCCAACAGCTGTGCTCCCTCTGGTCAGGCAGCTGACCCCTTCTGACCCACCCCAGGGAGTGACTGGTCAGCTCATGACCACAGAGCCCCAGACGCCCCCGGACAGCTCTCCGGCGCCTCTGGATGTGGGGGCTCGGTGACCAGCCTGGGGGCAGCAGAGCAGCGGAGAAGTGTGGTCACCGTGGGAGAGGCCTGGACGGGCCGCCCTTCCCGCCTCTTGCCTGTCGTCCTTATTGATCTGGTCCCCGAAGCCCACGGCGTCCACAATGGTCAGCCTGAGGTGCACGTTGCTCTCCTGGAGGTCGTAAGTCTGAGGCCGCAGGCGCACGCACCCCTCGTGGTGACTGGCTTCCTCAGTCTCAAAGGTGGTGTTGAAGAGCGTGTTCATCAGCGTGGACTTGCCAATGCCAGTCTCGCCTGGAGAGCAGGACAGGAGGGAGAGAAGTGGGCATCAAAGGCTGGCACAGGGGCTGTCCTGGGCTGGGGCCGAGGCCAGGTGGGGGCGCAGGCAGTCTCAGCCCTGATAGGAGGAGGGACAGGCGGGCTTCCCACTCCATCCACGTCCTCAGCCCTTGTCTCAGGGGCCTTACAGACAATGTGTGTGGAGTGGTGGCTCAGTGGGGCCGTGCTTGCACGCAGGAGACCCTGGGCTTGATCCCCAGCTAAAGGGGTGGAGGGCGAGGGAGGAAGAGGGAGAGAGGAGAAAAGAGGAAGAACGAGGAAGGAAGGAGGGAGGTAGCTAGGCAGCAGACAGGCAGGCTGCTCATCTATCGCACAGCCTGCCCCGAGCCCCATCCCTCCAAGGCCCAGGATGGGCAAGGAGCTGCGGCAGGGCCAGGGTTCGAGCCCATATGCCCTGAGCTGCCTCAGCCCCACGAGGTTTGACTGTGGGGAGGGACAGGCAGCTGCAGAGGGCATATGGCCGAGCACTCCAGAGACAGCCACCCTGCGTGGGCTGTCTATTCAGACACGTGCTAGATGTTTTCTTACATGCTACTGTGACGAAGGGCAGAGGCTGGTTTGCCACAGTATTCTTGACACACAGTAGGAAGGAGTAAATAAATGCTTTTTAAATAAATGAATCTGAATCACTGCGATAAACACCTGCAGTCTGTAAAGCACTTTCTCATGTGCCAAATCCTGCGTGCTCTGCATGACAGCGCTGGCCTGGAGTTGGGCCCCGGCCCCAATCCTGTCCTGGACCCTGGCAGAGACACTGACCACACCCTCATCCTGCCTGCCCCTGCCCCGTTTTCCTCGGCCTGGGAAGCCCCACGCAGCTTGACAGGGGGCCAGGGTACCTGAAGGTCCTCACCCCCCTCTGTCTGAGGATGTCCCCGGCCAGGCCACGAAACTCACCCACACAGAGGATGTTGAAGCTGAAGCCCTGAGTGATGGACTTGCTGACCAGCTGGTCAGGGAGGCTGTCAAAGCCCACATGGCCACCCAGCGAGAGGCTCCGGGGCTCGGACTCCATACTCTGCAAGAGACAAGCAAAGCAAGGCAGTGAGCCCACTGGGTAACACGGGCAAGTGAGGGACCACGCTGAGCGGAACGAGAGGCCCTGATGGAGCTTGTGTTCCTGTGACCAGCTGAGGACAGGGTGAGGCTGCCACCCCTCAGGACCCCCTTCTCCCAACTACTCCATGGCGCACGCTCCAGCCGAGGCCTCCCATCCCCCAGGCCACCCCTGCTTCACACACAGCCAAGTGTAGAGCACACAATGGCCCTGCTGGAGGGCCTCTCCACTCCTGCCCTCTCAGCCCTACCCGGCCATGGCTTAGAGGGGCCGGGTGAGGCTGTGCGGGCCTGGCCTCCACAGAGAGGTGGGCAGCCAGCCCTGACTGAGCAGGGGCCTGGAGCTGGCCCACAGCACCACAAAGAGAAACCCAAAGACCCGGGGCAGAGATCAAGGGCAGACCCCAAGGTGTGTGCCCAGCTTCTCTGGCTTCCCTGGGCCGAGGGCAAAATGCTGTCCTCCAGGGAAGGGCCCAGGCTCAGCCACTCCAGGGCAGGCCTCACACAGCCCCATTTGGGCAGAAATGCGCCTCCTCCTTCGGGAGCCCCCCTTCCTGCCTCCCAGCTTGAAAGGACAACGGCAGGAAAGGGCCGCGGGCTCGGGCGCCCCCTGCTCTCAGCTGCAGGGGAGAGGAGACAGGAGCTGGAGGGCCGGCATGGGAGCTGCTGACAGTGCCATCACAGCCCTCACACAAATGCAGGCACAGATAGGTGGGCAGAGGGGCTGAGGAGCAGACGGGGGCCCTGGTCCTGCCCTGCACGGGGCCCTCCTCGGCACCTGGGCCCCTGACCTGTGCAGCCGCCGCCTCCGGTCCATCTCTCTCACAACCGGAGCCCGCACACACTCAGGTCCAGCCTCTGCTCTACTACCTACGCCTGCCTCCCTCCTCAGCCCTGCACCAGCAACGCCTGCGTGTGTCTGACAGCCTGGTGCCCATCGCACACAAGTCCAGGTCACCCCTCTCCAAGGACCCTGGACAGCCGACACTCCCTCCTCACTCACCACCTCTTCCCAGGGCAGCATGTCCAACTCTCCTCATTCAAGCCCAGGTCCCTTAGGGCTGCAGACAGCCCAGCAAAGGGGTCCCCAGGCAGCTCTCTCATCAAAGACAACACCTGGAGCCAGGATGTGCCAAGCCCCTCAGCATGCTGTTCCAGAGCTTCCTCGCAGGCTCGGTTCCAGCCAGCAGGTTACTTCTGAATTCCCCTTTCCAGCTCTGCCCTTCCCTGGGCTCCAGAGCTCTCTTCACCTTTTCCCTGGCACCTGCACTCACCTGGCCCAAGTACTTACACCCCATCCGGACCCCCACCAGTGTGACCCGACTCCTCACCGTTAGCCTCCCCTTACCCCTGGGCTCTCCACCTATGCCACAAGCTTCTGGAAGTCAGCTTCCAGCTGGGAGAGGCCAGGCTTCCCATCCTTGGCACCCTTCCCGCCCTGCACCCAGAGCTGGCCAGACGCCACCCATTCACAAGCTACTGAGTGTGGGCTGTAATCAGCACCTCGCCAGGGTGTCTGCCCACTGTACACAGGGCTTGATCATTTAGCCTCTGTTCCACCTGCCCGTGGCAGCTTGAGGATCAAACGGAGGACAGAACAGTCAGCCTGGAGCTTTCTTGCTTTTCAGGGGAGACTAAAAATCTCCAAAATTTAAGGCGTGCTGTGCTTGCAGAGAGAAGGCTGTGTGTTTATTCATCCTCTTCTTCCAAGGGTGACACAATCAGGATGCAATCCAACATCCTGTAGTCTGCCGCCAAAACCCACCGAGTCAGCTGTGTCTGGAAACCGCACATGCACACACACACACACACACACACGCACACACGCACACACACTCACACACCCGCCACAGAGTGCTTGCAGAGAAACAGAGGCTATCTATGCCTCAGTCCCTACCCTACCCCCACCTGCCCCGCCTTCTGACAGTCCCGGGTTTCAGAGGCTCAGAGCAGCCCTCGGGCTCACAAAGCACCCCTGCCTGAGCTCAGCAGCCCCCGCTGCCCTTTATCACATGCATGGCTCTGGGTGTGGAAGACAGGCAGGTCGTCATTCCCGTGTCATTGCCCACACTGCGCTGTCACTAGGGGCCCAGACCTGGGATTATGTCTGCCCAGGAGCCTGAAGGACCAGTGGGGGCATCAGTCTATGGGGTGCGCGCGCGCGTGCACACACACACACACACACACACTTACACACTGAGGAACATCCGACCACTGGGCCTGCTGGAGGCAGTGTTCTTCCATGGTCTCATGGACTGCTGGGACCTCCCGGCTTTACTAAGAGGACTCTCATTAATGCCAGCCTCCACACTCACGTATTCGGCATCAACAACAAGTGATCCAAGTGTGCCGCCCACTCCAAAGTGCCATCCTGTGAGTGTCTGCTGACCTGAGGGGGTCGCACCTAGGAGGGGCCAGCAGCCCCCAAAGCAACAGCCTATACATCTCAAGGACCACTCAGAGATAAAGCCAGGACCCCTGCTGCCAGCCCTGCCGTTGGTGGGAATCAATCAGCCTGATTCCATGGCTGGCTCAGGTACAAGCAAGAGACCAGGGCAGAGTCTTTGTCACCATCCTGTGACCACTGGGGTAGCTGGCCTAAGGCAGATGTCTTCTACCAGCGGATGGCAGAGCCAGAAAAATCAGAGAAGAGAGAGCTGATGCTGCCCTACCTCTGGTGCTTCCCTCCAGCCCTGGTCAAGCGGACCCCGACTGCTTAGCGAGTTCTTCGGCACCTGTGACCAAAAGCAGCCGGAGTCTCCACAGTGCAACTCTCGATGGACAGGAACAGGGAGGGAGGCGGGCAAACAAGGGGACTCCAGGGAGGAATGGGGTGAAGGCCAGTGTCCCAGAAAGGAGCAGATGTTGGAGATGACGCCAGCACACCAAGTCCGCCTGTCTGAACCAAGCCCAGGGAGTTGCCGGCCCCTCACTCAGTCCTCCCTCTGGGCACCGGACCCCACCTGATAGGTGAGGAAACCGGAAACAGCTAGGGATCGAACCAGGCAGGACAGGGACTCGAGCGGGGACCAAACCTTTCCCCCAAACCACTCTGCTACTCGGCTCCCCTGCTCTGAGAAGGCTCCCAGCTCATCACTGTCACTCACCACACTCATCAGACACACCTGCCACGCACCAGACACTGAGACGGCTGAGGATGAAAACACGGGGCACCAGACCCTGGACTTCGGGGGGGCTGATTCTCAAATGCCCAAAGGTCCCACGCAAGTAATATAAACAGGCAGAGGCCAGGATAGTTAACAATGACAGTGGGCACAACAGGAACAGCTAACATTCACCTGAGCACTTGCTGTGTGCAACTCAGGTTTAGTCTCGCTGGGCCCACACCTGGGCCCTGGAAGGCCAGTGGCCATTATATAGCAAGAGCACTGAGGCACCGGGAGGCTCAGGGATGTGCACAGGACCAGGGCTCAGGGGAAGCCAGGATCTGAATGCACAGTGTGACGGGGAAGCCCACCCTTCTTGCCACCTGCTGGATGAGACAGCCGCTGATGTGGCCAAGAGTGGGGTCCCCAGGAGGAGGTGGGAGTGAATGTGTGTGGGGGGGGTGCAGTGCTCATGCCCATGGGTGTTCCATGGCATCCACAGCCACGCAGCTCCAGCCAACTATGGAGTGCAGGTCTGGGGTTGCTAAATCATCCCCTTTTCAAGAGAATCCCCAAATCTAGATCTTCATGTGAAATCCTCTATATTTTAAAGGTCGCCAACCAAGACAGACTGAGAGTACGGGGAAGGCCCAACATAACCTTCAGAGGCTGGGCTAGACCAGAGGCCTGGCAGTCTGCAGGAGGCTGAGATGGGTGGACACACCTCTGCCACCAGTCTCCGGGAATGGGAGACGATTCCAGGGGAAGGGACTTCAGAGAGCCTCCATCCCAACTCTGACCCTGGGTGCTCACTCAGGGGCCTCCCAATATCTGGGAGCTCTGAGCTCTCGGCACACAATGTGAGGCTCCATGGGGGCCACTATCCCCTCTCTAATCACTAACAAGCTTTTGGCTCCAGAGCCAAGCCCCAGGCTTCTGTGTCACCACTTCTTTGGCACATCAAAGACAACAGCCAAAATAATAACTGCTTGGCTGGCTGGCCATCCAGAACACAGTGGAGGACAGCACCTCGTTATGCAGCCCAGTGGATAACTAGGGCATCCTTTTCCTGATCAGGAAATGCTTGAGGTGAGCCTTCTGGATCAGCCCAAATTGCCTGCCCAGAGGAACTGCCCATTTCACCCAGAGACAAGGCGGGATTTGGGAGAGGAAACCATGTCCCATGGCTTGTCCACACACAAAACAGGCTTTTATCTAGAAGGAACGGGGAACATGCTGGACGTCCAAACCAACAGAGCCAGAGAAAGTGAGGATGAGCAAAGATACCCCAGTCTAGGCAGGCTGTTGGAGTGGAAGGAGAGAGGATACCTGGCTCAGGGTATGGGGTTCTTGAGTCCTGGGCAAAGAGAGCCCTCCAACCCCAGGCCTGCCAGTTCCCCAGGCCTCTGGGCTTGGAATTCCCTTTTTTTTTTTTTTTGAGACAGGGTTTTGCTATGTGGTTCAGGCTGGCCTTGAACTCATGTGGCCTTGGCTGGCCTCAAATTCACAGCGATCGTTCTGCTTCAGCCTCCCGAGTACTGGGATTCTAGGTGTGTACCACCACGCTGGGCTATTGGGACTCTTTTGTCCCCAGGCTCCAATCCTAGCATCTACTGGCCTCAGCGCCCTGCCAGGCGGAAGGGGAAGCCCACTCCCCACGAGCGCCAGCTCCGGAGGTCCTGTGAAGTCAGAAGTCACTGCGCCACTGGAAGCCTTCTCCACCCATATTCCAGGCATAAACCATCCTGCCCCAGCTCCAGCTGCCTGGGCCTTAAATAGCCAGAGCAGAGGCCTCTGGCCAGAACCCGTGGTCATAAGTACAACTGTCCTTGAGCCCAAAAGGAATCCCAGGAATTTTCCCAGGAAAGGCTTAGGCCCTGGTCCCAGGATTCCACAGCAGGCCTCTAGCCCGGGTCAGAGGTTACGGGAAGAACCAAGAGCTCTGTGTGTGGGAGGGCAGGATGGGGATGCGGCTGCCCTGGGTGTAAAGGGAAGAATACAGACAGGTCACACCTGTCCCTGCACCTGGGAACCAGTTACAGTGACAGCAGAAAACAGGAAAGACTGAAGCGGGGAATCAACCTTCACAGCACCTCCATGATGGCAGAGAAGCTAATACCGGTGCGAGGCCGGCGGGGCCACCAGTCAGTCTCGCAAGGCCAACCATTCTCGACCTGTCCTAAGAAGGGAAGGAACTCTGTGAGCACAACTACCCGAGGAACCCAGGTCGCCCCTTCCGTCTCCCGAGGAACTTCTTCCGCTTTCTGCACAGACAGCCAGGCTGCAGCAGGCAAAGAACTGGAAGAACTGGAGATGGCTCACTTCACACATCTCCTGTCAAAATCCAGTTTCCCGAAAGGGCAGGGAAGGGGGCGCATGGCAGGTCCCTGAGGTCTTGGCCATCACCCCATCCCTCAGGCCTGGGACACAAACACATTCTTGGGCTTTGAGAACGCAGATGGGTAAGGCACTTCAAGCTGCAGAGGTACTGGACCCAGGCGTTCGTACTGCTTCACTTGGTTCAGGGACTTCAGAGGCAGCCACTGCTGCCTTGCACCAGGGAAAGCCTGGCTGGAAGGAGGCAGAGAATGAGGCTCCAGCTTGGGAAGGGGTAACACGGGCAGCAAAGGTGCCCAGCCTTCCTTCCCAACCCGGGATGGATGACTGCTCTGCAGGGCCGAGGAATGCAGGGGCACTGTGATCTGCCTCTGCTACCTGCCCGCTCACCCCAGCACCAGGCAGAAGCTCAGGCTCGGCCCCAGCCAGAGCCAGGTGTGGGGAATGAACACAGGTCCACGCCCACTGCCCCTTCCAGGCCCCTCAGGAGACAGAAAGCCACCTCAACCAGTCAGGCCCCTACTCCCTCTTGCCCTGGTTCTCCCTCCCCTCTAACTTGCCTTGGACAACAGAGAGTTAGAGGCCATGTGTTCTGAAGAGGAGGACACTTAATCTGCCCCAAGCTGTCCAGGGGAGCCTCAGCTACAGCCTAGACGTCCCTCACCCTGTCCTCCATCGCTTCTTCCCAGCCACAGTTCCCTTCATGACCCTGAGGATGCAGATGGCTCCTAAGGAAGTCACCACAGAGCACCCCAGCTCACCTTGATGGCATTCTGCCCTTCCCCAGGCAGATGCACCTCCCTCCTGCCTGCACAGCTTCACATCTGGCTGTCTGGCAGAGCTTGTGCCCTGGGGGCCATGCCCGGAGATTCTGAGACCCAGTGGCTGCACAGAGGCAGGAAGCCCAAGAAGGCTGCAAGGGACACAGAGGCCAGCTGGCAGTCAGGCCCTTTGCTCTGTCATCCTGCTGCCGCTGGCCTTGCTTTGAGGTAGCTGGACTGCAGCCACAGAGACATTTATGGTAGTTACTGCCCCAAATCTGCACCTCTACCCAGCCCACCCCAGGGCTCAGGATTCAGAGGGCTCCACCACCACAGGCACCTCAGGGGCCTCAGGTGCTAGAGTTTAGGTCTTGAACCACCCTTTACTGGCTGATGGACAAAGTCTGCTTCTTCACCGAACCTCCGACTGCTGACATTAAAAACATGATGGGCAAAAGCATCCAGTGCCCTTCCTCTTCCTATCATCCAAAGTTTTGTTTGTTTGTGTTTAGGTACTGGGAGTTGAACGGAGGGCCTTGCACATGCTAGGCAAGCACTCTATCATTGAGCTATACACCCCCGCCCTTTTAATTTTTTTATTCTGAGACAGGGTCTTGCTAAGTTGCCCAGGCAACTCAAACTTATGATCCTCCTGCTTCATGCTCCCAAACAGCTGGAGTTACAGGAATGTGCCACTGCAGCCAGCCCATCCAAAGCTTCTGACAAAAGTCTAGGCCCTGGGTTGTCAGCTTCCATCTATTCTCTCCTCCTCGGCACTGTGATCAGTCTCTTCTTGCAGCCATCTCTGTTCCCACCTTGGTTAGTCGCTTATCCAGTGCTCCCTTGCACTGCGCTTCCACCCACCTCGCAGCCCTGGCCCACTCTAGTTAAGATGCAAGCAGACCCTACGGTGGGCACCCAGAGCATGGTCCAATGCCCCAGAGAGGGAGGACGGGGCACAGCTACCTCTGGGGAGCAGGAAGAGCTGCTGCTTTGCCCCTGGTGCTCATGCCTGACCCCTCGATGCCACCAGGCGCTGAAAGCTGCCAGACAACTCTCACTCAGCTTGCATTTCTACTTCAGAAAGGCTGGGCAGGGAGGTCACTGGCCATTTTCACAGGACAGGGAGATACTTTGCTGTGACAGGGGCCCTGGGCCCCACTGGGTATGAGGGCTGCCTCCCATACCCCTTGCTTCAGGACAGAACAGGCACGCCCTGGATAGTCTGCTTCTTGGGGAGGTGTCAAGATTACAGGAGTGACAACGGAAGTAACAGATGGTGCTGGGGATAAAGCAGAGATGGGCTGGCTGGGAAGAATGCCAAGCATGAGGCTGAGTTGCCTCACGTTTCTTCCCTCTCCCCCTCACCTCTCGTTTTCCCCAGGCCCTGTAGGGTCCCTCACCACGGAGCACGAATCTCGTCCTACTCAATTCTGACAAGAGAAACACAGGAGCTGGCCCTCAAGACAGGCACTATGAGTGTCAGAACCAGAGAAGGGGCCAAGCAAGGGTGGACGGAGGACTGGCTGCCCAAGGGAGAAGAGGAAACTCCCAAGGACTGTCCCCACATGCACATAGAGCAGGCACTGACCCAAGCCTCGGGCTGAGCCCAGGGTCAGCCAGGGGTCAAGGCTGCTGAACCTGTGGTATATACCATGTTAAACACATACACCAAAGGGTGGGGCACACCTTGATCTCCAAGCACAACTCGGTCCCGTCTCCTAAGCTCCAGGTTCTCAGGAGACAGTTCCCAGGCTCTCCCAGGCTGGTCTGACCACTAAGCTGGCCAGAGGGACGGTGCTGACCTGCCACACCTCCACCGGACCCTGGAACTGGTGAGAAATCAGGTTCACTGAGGCTATGAGTACTCTCACAAACTCGGAAGAATCAGTATGGCTGTAAGCAAAGAAATGCCTCTCCCAGGATGACAAGCCAGTAGGGGACAATGGAGTCTGTGCTCCTAAATTCAGGCCAAACTCCACCCAAGATCTCCACCCAAATTCAACCCTGTCCAAATCCTCCCAGGAGTCTGGCGTGGAAGGCATCCGTCCCTCTGGCTTCACCAAGCACAGCAACCTAGGCCCCACACTCTTCCCTGAGTCAGGCCCATCTGCCCACCTCGAGGATAACACCCAAGCTCCTCACAGAGATGGTCCCAGAGCAAGCAGGAGGAAGGCCCTGCCCTCTCTGAGGACTCTCTGGATGTACAGTGGAAGGAAGCCCCTCTGCAGAGGCCTCGTCCATGGGCTTCTCACACAGAGAGAAGATCCGTCTTCGCATCCAGAGACAAAGATTTCACGTGCAAGTAATTGTAGCCTCACTATGTGCCGGATGCTGGTCATGTACCCCACCTGGATTCACCGAGGTGTTCTCCAATAACCCCATGAAAGAGGGGACACTTCTCATCCTATTACACAGAACACTGAGGGGTTAAGTACCTTGCCCAGGGTCACATGGCCAACAAATAGCATCTAGGAGCCATATCAAGCCATCTGATTCTGGTTCTTCTACATACCACTCCCACAGGCAAGATCAACTGTTAGAGCAACCTCTGGCCACAGACAAGACCCAGACGTAACTTTCTGGTCAGGTGGGCACAGAAAATGCACAGACACAGGGCTCGTGGCCTCCAGCAGTTCCAGGTCTATTAGGATTCACGAGCTGCCTTCTTCCAGTACACAAATTCCACGGAACAGCAAAGAGGTGAAGTGGACCTTGGGTTTGTCAGCTTCTGAGTCTGCTCCTCATGTAGTTTAACTTACTTCAGACACACAGGCCCCCTGCCCAAAGGGAATAAAATACCCCAGTCTAGCGAATGATGAAACCAAGAGCGCCTGTTTAGTTATGCATATTTCCAAAGTAGACCGACAAATGTATTTTCAGATTAAAGGAGAAATCTACATATATAAATTCAGATCACTGTATTTATAGCATTAATTACATAAGTCCCAGCTCCCTTATTTAGCCCCAGAACCAATTCGTTATCGGTCGCAGTCAGAACCCCCTCCCTCCCCACAGCTCTGGGGCCTCCCCCTCCCTCCCCCTCCTCCGCCTCCTCCCGCTCCCTCCCCAACTCCCTCCCTTCCCTCCCCTCTCCCTCCTCCTCTTCCAGCTGACCAGGGCCTCACATGCTGGCCAAGAGGACAGTTTCCTTCACTGTCACAGCCTAGCCTCCCAGACACACCCAGATCCAGCCTTCCACACCAGGGGACGTGCAGACACGACCCCTCAAAGGCCTCCCTCCCGGGTTGTGATCAAAAACCCTTTAGCAAGTTAGCCACAGCCTGGCTCAGGGCCAGGGACACCCTCGCGGGGACCCCCGGGGCCGTCAGCCCGGAACGCAGACTGGGACAAGAGCCCAGACCGACATCACACGGGCTGGATCTGGAGTCGCCCCAGCTCCTGGGGCACGGCTGCCAAAGACCCGACCACCGAGGCCCGACCGCCCGGAGTGGCACCCAGGCTCGAGCGCGGGGAGGGATGCGGAGGGAAGCGAGAGCGGGCGCGGGTCCGGGTCTCACCTGGGCGCTCCGTCCCCATCCACCCGCACCTGCGCGCCCGGGCCCCCGCGCGCAGACGGCGCCTCCCGGAGCGAGGGTCGCGGACCCGACCCTGCCCTCCGCTCACACCTGCCCGGGCCAGGCGGCTCTGCTCCCCCGCCCCGGTGGCCGCGCCCGCCCTGCTCGCCGCTCACCGAGGGCCGCTCCAGCTCGGTGGCCGCCATGCTGCTCGGGCACGGGGCGGCGGGCCGGGACGAGCCGTGCGGGACGCGCTCGCCGGCGCCGCGCTGAATGGATCCAATATGGCCACTTCCTGGAAACTCCCCTCGGCGGCGGGAGAGGCGCCCCGCCCCGCCGGCTGGCTGAGCGCTCGGGCCCGGACGCCGGGGTCTCCGCGGCGGGGCCGGCGGGGCTGCCGGGACTTGTAGTCCGCGGGGCGGGGGGCGGGGGGCGGGGGGCGGGAGAGGCCGCCGCGCCCGACGCCCGGCCCGGGCCCACCTGATGATGCTGCCGCCTGCGCCCGGGCGGGACCCGGCGGGACCGGAGAGTCCGGCCCGGCGACCTTCCCGGCCAGGCAGCAGCCTGCGGGCCCTTGCGCAAGGGGAGCGCGGGATGCGCGGCTCGGGCGGGGGTTGGCGCGGTGGGAGAGGAGCTGCGCGCTCGAGGCCCGGACTGGCCCCGGGCTCGGACGGCAGGGACCGAGTCGTGCCCCGTGCGGAGAGGACCGCGCTGCCCTGCTGACCTCACCTCCCAAAGCGTGCACGCCACTCCGAAAACGGCTCCTTCGCCCAAACCCGAGGCCTCTAGGGCTCTGCATCCTTCTCCCGGGCTGTGCACAATCCAGCCCCAAGTCCTCCGAAACCCTCCTTTCCCCCTTCCCTCTTCCTTTCCTTTCCTGCTCTGTGAGGGACAAGCTCCACACCCTATCCCTCCCTGGCCTCATCCCAGGTGTGTTTACTCTCCGCACATCACCCCCCAGTATCTTCCCGGGAAACAGCCTCTTCCTCCCACCCCGAGCCCCGGGCAGGCTGGAGGCGCCGGAAGAATGCACACAGGCCCGAGTGAGCGCTCCCTGCCCTTCGTTTGGCTGCTGTGGTACCCTGGACCTTCCACCCCTAGTGGCTCTTCCCTACTTTCTCTCCCTGGCGACCCAGCTGACCTTCACCCCCTGGACTTGCCCAACAGTGCTTCCACGTTGTTCCCCCCCACTCCTGTTCATTCTGCGTTGTTTCTTCAACATTTCTACATGTATAATAGGCGAGAGCTGTGACTGGGGAGCTGGATCTACGGTTGGAACTCGCCTCCACCCCTTGTTAGCTCGTGGGCCTTACACGGGCAAGTTCTTAACTATGTCTCCCTTTCCTTAGCCTAAAAATACAGGTACTACCTGTAGTTCAATGATCACAAGCGACGCCCAATTGGGCAACTCGTGGACTTAGTGAGACCCTGTCTCAGAAAAAAAAAAGAAAGAAAAAGAAAGAAAAATGGCCTTAAATAGTAGTTGAAATGTTCTGTTTCATAACATCTCCTCAGGACTGGGGATTTAGCTCAATGGCACCGTGCCTGCCTCTAAAGCACAAGGTCCTAAGTTCGATCCCCAGTACCAAAAAACCCCCATAATATGTCCTTCTCTAGACTAGCAAGGTCTTAATAGAGAGAGAATTTATCCCTACTTGGGCATATTTCAAAACATCCACTGCCAGCAGTACCAGCAAGAGCTATGAGAAGGAAAAGCCCAGACTACAGCTCTCTTCCTTCTCTTGGGATATGTTCCCTCTATTAGGAGAATTTACTCCTATTTTCCAAACCAAAAATTCCTTCATTATCATTATGACTACTACTCCTTTTAGGCTGCTTCTGGACAGAACTTCTGAGGGAGTCAGGATTACTGATAGGGACCCGAAAGCTGAGCACAGTGGTACCTCAGTGCCTGTCCCGTGGTTAATTGGTTCCCAGGGGCAGGATGAGTACCAATTGCTTTAGCTAGGAAGGGTAGCAAGTCAGGAGCAGTCCACACCAACAAGGTCTAGTTTGCATGGCAAGTACCAAATGTCAGTTACCGGGACACATTCTTAGGGTCTGAGTACCAAATTCAGTGAGTTTCGAAGCAGTCAAGTACCCAGATAGGACTGTATGGCAATCATTTCTCACATGGCAGTGTTATTTCTTGTGACAGCATCTCCCAGTACTCCTCATCCTCCCAGGAGAGATCCATGGATGTTGCAACAAGAGATTAGTCCAACAATAGAATCTTGAGGAATGCTGAGTTCCATACCAAAGATAGTTTCTGTGGAAGTCCACAAAGCTGTCTGATCAGCTGATACACATCTTCACTGCCTGAAACATGCAGGGTGTAGTGGATCCTCAACTTAGCTGACGTCCCTTCCCCTTGCACCCCCTGACAAGTCTAGCACCACACTAACCTTGAACAGGACAGACCAGCACTCCAGGAAATGCTGCACTCCAGGCCTCTTGTTTATCTTTTATTTTTGTTTATAATTTACAATTTCTTTTGTTAGTAGAGGTTTAAAATGTTTATATTGTCAAATTTACCTGTTATTTTCTTTATGATTTTCATTTTTGCTTTTTAAAAAGGCAATGAAAAAAAAGAAACTGGGGATGTTGCTTAGTGGTAGAGTGCTTGCCTAGCAGCTGTGGCGCCCTGGGTTCTATACACAGCACCACAAAGAAAGAAAAGAGGAAAGAAAGACCAATCCAGAAAGAAAAAGCAGGTATAGTAGCCCTCGCCTATAATTCCAATACTAGAGAGACTGACACAGGAGCATCACCATGAGTTTGAGGCCAGTCTGAACTATATAGCCAGACCCTGTCTCCAAAACAAAACAAGAAAAAAGAAAGGAAAAAATCCTTTCCAATCTCAAGTTCATAAAAATATTGTCTTAGTATTTTCCTATAAAACCATTTTTGTCATGTTTAGGTAATGTGTTTTGAGTACAGCAAACCAGTGGTTTCCTCTTTCCTCACTGATACACAACACAAATGGTATCAGAGACTAAGTTTCTGCACATGTGTGTGGGAAGGGCATGTTTCAGTTCGGATTACATCAGTGACTTCAACAAGGTAGGAGTTTCTTTCTTGTATTGCCTAGGTAGGTAGTCTAGGGCTTAGATGACTCTCACTGTGCACCTTCCATCTCACTGCTGTGAATGTCCTTGTCATGATCCAAAACAGTGACACTTTATCTGCATTCCAGGCAGCAGGAGGGAACGAAGTTAAAACAGAGAAAATGAGCAACTGCTCTCAAGTGATTCCAGAACCTGCCACAGGCCCTCCTGTTTATATTCCATTGGCCAGAGCTGAGCAATGGTGTCTTTATTCTGTCCATCAGTCAGAAGATACCTGCAATTCTTCCATGTCTGTTTCTAGGCTATTTTTTTTTCTGTCACAGTGAGATATCTGAAGATGTTTTTCCCAAAAACTTTTAAATTGTATTTATTTTTTTGGAACCTTAGAATATAAAAATGACAAGCACGAAAATCAGTCATGTACCACCATTCAGGATTAACTACAGATAATTTTTTATCCTATCCATTCTTTTAAAATAAAAATTGCATGATTTTTTAAATAAAAGTGATATACAGTTGAAATAATTCAAACAATATAGAAGAGTTTAGACTATCTTAATGCCACTACCCAGAAAGGGTCATCATGAACATTTCATTTACATTATCCCAGAAAGCTTTCTATGAATATTATAGACAGGAAGAAAAACAACAGTGATATTTTACAGGAGTAGGGACCATAATACCAATGCTATTTAAATTAAAAATTATTATATTTAATTTTACTTGAATTTAAAAGGTGCAAAAGAGGAAGTAAAACTGAAGGAAGAGTTGAGCTTCAAAGAATGTTTCTTTTTTTTTTTTTTTTTTGGTACTGAGGATTGAACTTAGGTCCTTGTGCTTGCGCAGCAGGCGGTGCAACCACTGAGCTAAATCCCCGGCCCCAAAGAATGTTTCTTGACCACCAAAGATATTACTTCCTAAAAGATACCACTGAGGTTAAGCAAAAATTGTTTAACATAGTAAGAGGTTAGTCATTTTCTTAAGGTACACATTTCAGTTTGTGTGTGCGTGTGTTTGTATTGCTCTGAAAAATAAGCTCTGGTGACTCTTCCCATCTCTCCTGCCCCCAGCTTCCTGACTTTTGTTGCTTGTTATTGTTACGTTGTCTAGGTTTACAACAATCCTATTCTGTTCTGTAAACATAATTCTATAGTTACTTAGCATACATTCTAAATTCAAATCACTTCAATGCTCATCACTGGTCCTTCTACCAAGGCCTTTCAATTTTCAAGATCTTTGTTTCTATTCATCTCATAACAGGCTGAATTTCATGGTTCAGCTGTTTTTCCAAGGCGGCTTTAGGATGGCAGTGCAGTGCAGTGGTAAAGCACTTGCCTAGCATGCACGAGGATGGTTTCCATCCTCACTATTAAAAAAAGTGTTTCTGGAGCATCTACACTGTGGCCATATCGTAATGTATATTATTCTTGAGTCTGACCTTCTTCCCCACAGAAGTTTGTAGGTTTTGCTCTTTACTATTTTGGGAAGCAGTCTGACACCAGCCTGAGTTCCTCCTTGTAGCTGACATATTTTTTCTGCTTAGCTATCTAAGGAAGTAATTCTTCGTCATTTCTTAGTTCAACTTAACTAGGAGGTATTTTAGTATTAAACCTTCTGAATCAAGCTTTTCTGAAAGTTATTTTCTTTCAATCTAAAGTTTGTGTGGTTTTTTTCTGCGTTGTAGTTCTGTTTTGGCTTCTCTTCTTTAGAGATAGCAATCCTTGTATTGGATCATCTTTGCTGTCTTTCACGTCTATTCATTCTAATGCTTTAATCATTTTGTCAGATTTAGCTTGTGCAACTCAGTAATTTGAGTTTCAGGGGATCCATTCTCTTTCTTGTTGGTTGTAATTTATTCATTGGGTCTGCAATGATGTTTATTTAATATCTCTGATTTCATCATCTCATCTTGGTCTCCCCAATTTATTAAATCGATGTTCCTAAGTAGTTTTACACTGCAAAGTAGTTGTAAGGAATTCCTTAAGATTTGGGGGGAGCAGGTGGAGGGAGGCTTGTCTTCTTTTGCCCTGATTTCTCCTTATTTACCATGAATATTTTGCAGCCTGTGTTTGCATTCCTTTCTTGCCATTCTGGTCCCATGGCCCTGTCCAAACCTTTATAATGAGCTGCTGAAACGTGACAGTGAAAGAGGAGTCAGGACTGTTGCCCTACTGTTTGAGGACCAGTCTGGTTTTCCTTCTGCCTTGAAGGCATACT